GGTTCTGAGAGGTGCCCACATATAGGCTGCAGGGCCTGGAGTGAATAGTAAGAGGCAGCAGGAGTTTCTGGGAAAGGCAATGAAGACTTCCTCTGAGGAACTGGGAACTCTGGGTAATTTATTTCTGGTTAAGGGGATCAGGTGCAATGAACCCCCACAGGTTGAATCATGATCCAAAAGAAGTGCAGTTAAGCTTGGCTAAGGTCGTACACAGAACACGCCGAACAAGGCAAAGTTTCTTGGCAGCGTGAGGCAGATGAGGAGATCCAGTGCAGAAACAAGGGTTCAAAACCAAAATGGCAGCAGGCAAACTTGATCCAGTAAAGGCAAAGCTAAGACCTTGGTCATGAAAAACAAACAGGGCCGTAAATTTGGCTTGGTACATGGGATAAACACTGGAACTCGGTGGCAAAGCAATCAGACAATCTGGCACTGGAGCTAAGACTGAAAAGGGGGTTTACATGCACAGGCCAATAGATGAGTGGCATAAGTGATTGAGCGCATATGGGAAGCATCAGTTATTACAAACCATGACACAAGAACCTCCTTGCTCTAAGATGATGGTGCTAAACACCACATCGACGGATTTGTCTTATCATGCAAAGTGTTAATGCAGTCTTTTTATTCTTACATGTATAAAAATATTTTTTTCAAATATACTTTTACCACAGTATTTGTGTTGTTTAAAGCCAATGCCTTATCTCTCGGCACAGCTTGATCAAAGTATTACATTTCTGTCTTCAAAGCAGCAATACTTTTCGACACTCAAGTAATTTTAGCACTTGAATCATATCTAATGCAATCAGTTATTGTGATATGTAATTCAAAGGTACTACAGAGACACTCAATTTTTTGTATTACCTTTTGAGAACTTGAGCAAACATTAAGAAGATGCTGAAAAGTTATTGTGGTGATGTTTATCGTTCATATGTCACTGTGCCCTATTGGTGCTTTGTGTCATAATACTCCTGTTAATGACATCATGATGGTTTGACATACTCTGTTGCCATCTCAGATATTTTCTCTTCTTCCTTTGTCTTATCTTTCTTATTCTAAGCCCTTCATGTGAAAATAATGAGTAAGAAATTATCGTGAACCTTATTCTGCACCGAGTCTACAATCTCTCTGTTAAACATGACGTCCAGCACTTAGAATCTATTTGTGGGTCGTTTAGTTTGAATAAATGATCAGATTTGTTGAGTACTGGAGAAAAAAATTTCTGCTTCTTTGCTTTACTAAAATATTTGGTTTGTAGCACTTTCACTGTGGCTTTCAAGTCAGATTAAGTTTAGCTAATTAAATTGAAAAGAATCGAAAAAATCTTCTCTATATAATTTTTTTTTAATAAGACCAATACTGATATATTTTAACCCTGTCATTTATAATGGAAACTTTTACACAAATTAACTATTGTAAACAACCTTCAATTCATTCAACATTTGAGAATATATCATATTTAGTCTGCGGTTCACATAAATCCAAATCCTGACACCCTTTCAACAATTTATTAATACTTTACTTCATTAAATGCTGAAATAACCTCTGGAAATTCTATGAAATGTCAAACTGCATTATAACTGTATAATTTTGACTGTCATATAGCAAATGATGTCTCTGAATGCAGCACTATTTTGTACAAATATTAGTGATTCATTTTTTATTTTTTGTTAACATGCTACAGTTTTGTTCTATTTATGGTGCCGTGTCTCCTTGATTCACTGATATTTGTTAACAGATTGACATTATTAATCCCACAAGGGAAATTATTGGGTAACCGTTGGCATAACAGAATAGACCAAAGGAATGTACAGGCTTCATTCATGTGAGTAAAATTATATATATATATATATATATATATATATATATATATATATATATAT